GAACTGAATAATACCAAAACTGTGAATGTCTGAAATGAACGTTGTGTGCATGATATCAAATGATTTGATTATGAATTTAGATTCAGTTTATATGGATGTTCGACGCATTAGATATGCTTACTCAGCTTTACCGCTGAGCGTGTAGTGTGTTTTATTTGCTACACGCAGGTAAGCAGAAAGCACAATGTGATCCTGGCGGCAGATGGGGCGAGATTGTCGGGATGGATGTGACAAGTTTTGAAACAATTTATGATATGTCAATATTAAAATCGCTTCCGCAATATTGTTGAATACTCCGTATTGTATATGTATTGAAAAATATTATTGGGATTAATAAAGTGTGTTTGAAAAGTTTTAAATTCTTACGATTACCAAGTTAAATGCTTTAGTCCGAATGGGGCTGCAGACCTGGACGGATTAGGGTGTTACAACATAAGTATATATAAACATTTAAAATCAACCCAACAACATGTATATGTTAATCAAAGGTGTTTAAAAGACTTAAAGAAGTATTTTGGACACTCAAAATATCAAGAGAAAGATTCACAGACCCAAACGGTCGGTGCAAGCAGTCGACCGTCATATTAAACTTCGAAACGGACCACGACTGTTAGCAAAAACGGTCGACCGCCGTTGGCGAACGGTCGACCGTCGCCAGCCCAGCAGAACGCCACCGTTCCTAGCAAGTCAACAACGGTCAACTGCCGGTCAACCACGGTCGACCGTCACGGTGATCCGTTTCTCCGAGATAAAGTGAACCACGGGCGACTGCCGTGTCAAACGGTGGACCGTTCCGAGCCCAGTAGCTTAATTAAATGATATTTTAATCATGTTTCAAGCAAATAAACATATACATGATTATATATTCATATTGTTTGCAAATTTTTCACATCATATCATTCATTTCATCATTCATATTGAAGCATATCACATCATATGCATGCGTAAGAGATCATGCCTTGTGCGTCTCTTATAGCGTGGTTGTGCGAGACTTAGCAGTCCGACATCCCTGACCGTGCTTAGTGTGCGTACATGGTATTCAGGATTTCGAGTACCACCCCTATTTTTCTAGTCTCACCTCATTCGTGAGACTAAGGTGGCATGAGTTCGTCGTACTAAATGGGCGAATCTCATAGTGCAAGATCGTTCCTTGTGGGTTAGAATCATACATCATGTAATCATCATCAAGAAATTATATTGATTACATAGGTGTCATGTAATCATCATCAAGAACAATTATATTGATTACATAGGCGTCATGTAATCATCATCAAGAACAATCAAATTGATTAAATTAATGTGCCATCATGTAATTAGCATTGAATATTTATCATCATGATTCACCAAATTGACCATATGATATAATGTGCCATATCATAAATATTGTTATACATTTTTGTAGACGTATATATATGTATATGTATGTGTCTGTGAATTATTCTACAATTCTAGCGTGGTACCACTCAGCGGTTTCGCTGAGCGTGTAGTTTGTATTTTTCGTTGACTACACGTAGGTAATAAGAAGACAATGATGGAACCACTCCCGGAGGGCATTGAGTTAGAGGAGATGCAAGGATGGTAGGCAAATGTTTGGTCATCAGATTTTAAATGTGTCATGATTTGATTATTAATGTACTTCTGCATTACTCTGAAAATACTTTTTAAATGGGTCGCGATCTAGAGTCTGGAAATTTAATATTTATAAGTAATTGTCATTTTCAAATGTCAAGCGAAATTTTTATTTGACTCCGGTTTCACCTTAATACGTGTAATTCCGGGTTATACGGATTAGGGTGTTACAGGAAAAACCTTTCAAGAAGACAATGGTGCAGACCCGTAGCAACGCGAATTTAGGTACCAGATGTTATACCCCTGGATGGCTCCACCTAAACCCAACCTCTCCCAAAATATCCAAAAGCATTTAATCTCTTCTTTTAGACCAAAATAAAGTCTTCCCCATCTATATTAAAGCCTTGGCCGAAATTAGGATCCAAAGAAGACAAATAAAACCTTAGTTTGTTGTTTTTACCCTCTAAAGTCTTCCATTTAGCCAAATAATGTTTCCAATGTTTCCCCTTCCATCATGGACAAAATTTCCACTCCAAAATGACTCATTTTTCAAACAAAACATAGCCAACCAAGAGAGTCACATGTTGGACGAATATACAAGCCAAAAAGTCCCTCTCTTATCCCATGTCATAACCCCATCCTTGTTCCCCATTGTCTTCCCCAACTAGGCTGAACTAACACCTACTATAATCCAAGACACAATGGCCCACACCCACACCAATCAACCCTCTTTTTTCCCCCATATACTGCCCAGGAAGTATCTCCAAAAAAGCCCATCCTTTCCCCTTGGCCAAAATTATTCCCCCCAAAACCCAATCAAATAAGTGAGATACATTCACCTATCCTTACCATTCACTAGTGGCCAAAACACCAGCCCCACAAGTACAACTTATCTCTGATTTTCTCCCCACCAAAAGGACAACAATAAGTGGAGGTCATGCTACTGATTTGAGAAAAGGATATATGAAGCTTCCTCATGTTCACATTCATTGTATTGTGTATTATTTTCCCCTTTCCCTATATAATGTAGCCTTAGGGCAATGAGAAGGGACAATGGAATCATATTAAAAACCTTTTAGTCTTTGAGTATTCTTAAAATAGTGTGATGCTATTTTAGCCAAATTCCTAATTCTATATCTTAAGAGTGGTTATCTTTAGTGTGAGTTTTAGGTTCTAGTTATTTGATTGAGTGTGTAATATCTTGATTAAATACTAGAGTTTAACCCCAAGTTAATCTAGAGGTGAGCTTATCCTTTAGTATTAATTTGGCTCCAAATTAAGATAAGAGTGTGTTTATCTCTTATTCCTTACTTGGAATGTATCCCATCCTTTCTAAACCCATCCTTCATCCTTGATTTTCCACTCTTCTTCATAATATCAAAACCCAAAAAGAACTCCTTCACATTCCCATATTTTCATCTAGCCCATTTCCCCTTCATTATTCCACAATTCCATCTCCAAAAATAACAACTTGATAATACCCCCGGTTCACCCCTAACACCGGAGTCCCACTCCAGGGTGAGAATAGTGCCACCAGAGGCCGGCACCCTCGTATCAGTGTGACGGAGGCGAAGCCCCTCATCCAGAGGGTCGGGATCACCGCGGAGCAGTTCAAGGAGGTGTTGGCTGCCTTGACCCCGAATCGCGAGATTGTGGTGGAGGATGCGACCGGAGAACCCGTAGGAGGGAAGGCTGGACCTGCGGGTTCAGGGGGGAAAAGAAGAAGAAAGTAAGGCGGTCCAAGAAGAAGAAGGCGACCAAGCCCAACAGGAAGGTTAGGATGGAGGACGAGCTATCCAGATTAGACGAGGAAGATGAGTCGTCTTCCTTTGAGCGGGCGTCAGCCTTCGACCGATTGGGAGATCCTAAATTGAAGAAGCCCCGAACCTCGGCGTTCGATCAGTTACAAGATACTCGGTCGGCCCGCAAGGGCAACCTGAGAGTGAAACTCAAGGAAAGAAGGGGAGAGTCCTCGGCAACGTCCAAGATTGGCTCGGAAGAGCGACTAAAGGTGGTCGAGGACAAAGAAGCGATCGAATTGTGGAGGATGTGCGATCGTTTGGAGAAGCGGCTGGATGCCCAAAATCCGTACCGCCAGGTGGTCTTTAGTGAAGTAACGCCCTTCTCTAGAAGGATAATGTCCTGTCCTCTCCCGGATAATTTTAAGACCCGCAGGTCAAGGCATACAATGGGACAACCGATCCCCAGGATCATCTCGCTCGCTTCGGGGTGAACGTGGTTATGTATGCATACCCCGAAGAGATTAAATGTTGATGTTTCCTGGCAACATTGGAAGGGCAAGCTTGTGAATGGTTCCATAAGTTGCCCAAGGGATCGATTGACAAATGGAGCGACCTAGCCCACAAATTCTTGGAGCACTTCGCGTCCAGCTGGAGGCAGAAGCTCCCGTTCTCACACTTGCTCAACGTGAAAATCCGAAAGGGGGAGCAACTTCGGGAGTTTATCAATAGGTGGGAGAAGGAGGCTAGGGACGTCCAAGGGGCGGACGACCAGGCCTTGATCGCCATGCTCCAAGCGGCACTCCCTCAGGGGAATGTGCGCAAGGAGCTGCGACAATATCCGCTCTCGACCTACCAGGAAATGCTAGCCAGGGCGAAGTATCTGGCGTTGGAGGAAGAAGATGACGAGCCACCCATCCGGAAGGAGAAGAAGAGTGGACAGCCAGTAACGGAAGGAAGAAAGAGGAAGGATTTTGGTAGGGGACCAAACCCTACAGGATACCAAGTGAGCAGACAGCCTATCCACGCGGTACAATCCTTACCAGCCCCTCCTCGCAGTCGGGAAAGCTATAGCGTCCAAGATGCGCCCAAGTACTACGAGTACCATCGTAATAGCACCCACAACACATCAGAGTGCGTTACGCTGAAGAAGGAAATGGACCAGCTGATCACCAGAGGATCGCCTCCTCGGCCGGAACGACCAGCACCGGGGAACCGAACATAGAGGAGGCCGGCGGCCACCGCCGCAGCGATCGTCACAGGGGAAGGGCAGGAGGACGGAAGGCGACATCTGGGGAGAGACTGTGACGACCTAGATGAAGAAGAGAGGCAGAATCACCGACATTTGGGATGTCGGTTCATTATGGGTGGCAACACCGGTGTGGAGTCGGTGTCCTTGCGGATGAAGTGGAAGAATATGGTGCACATGGCCAAGGTGCAAAGGCCACCGCTGCCCAAGCGGAAGAAGAAGGAACCATTGATCTTCACGGATGAAGATTACCTGCGAGTTCTCAGTCCTCATCGGGATGCACTGGTGATAAAGGTGGAGATCAATAATGTGGTCGTCCATCACACGTTGGTCGATACTGGCAGCTCGGTCAACATCATGTATAGCAACACTTTCAAGGAGCTGGGGTTATCCCAGGGCGACCTTAAGCCAATCCATACCCCGCTGTCAGGATTCACGGGGGACACTATTGAAGCAGAAGGAACCATCACGGTGAAGGCTGGGGTAGGAGATGGCACCCACCGACTCTAGCTCGACATGGAATTTATGGTAGTGCAGCTTGACTGTGCACACCATTTGATCATAGGGCGACCGGGTCTGGAGGACTTGGAGTGCGTGATCTGTTGGAACATACTTTGTACGATAAACTAAAGTCGTGTTCATTTTTGACAATTTTGATAATTGCCAAACCGCCGTGGATATAAAGAGTTTCGTTTAATAACTCAAGGCATGAAGAATGGCTTGGAACAAGACCAAAAAGACTCAAGGACAAGATCAAGAATTGAAGACTTAGTGGAGTCGGTCTTTTGTGATCAAAACCGACAATAAATTCAAGTCTCGGTTCTCAAAAAGGTTAAACAATTTTTACAAATCATAAAATATTTTTTGTGCATCATAACAAAATTTTTTGATGATTTCTTTTATTGTTAAAATCCTTGGTCCTTGCTCAGAACCAAAACCACCTAAGTCGGCGTTTGGTTTTTAGCGCCCGAACTAACTCCGTGGTTTTCAATATTTTAAACCCTGTTTTTACCTCTAAGCTTTTTTAAAATGTTCCCAAATAATTATTTTATAAAAACCACTTTTGTATCTTGGTCAATCGGTCTAACATGTGAAAATCGGTCAAAACCGTACGCCCGTATTGTACGACCTTGGAGACTTGGTTTTTACCAAACAAGTCTTGTTTTCACTATTTTATACCATATACAATATTTTTCAAACCTGGTTTTTACTTTTTGGAACACTTCGTTTTTGGACCTCGGTTTTTCAAAACGGGTTTCAACTGGCTAGACTTTAGCTGGGTGATAATCGATTATCACCTTAGTGACAATCGACTATCAGCCCCTGCAGCTTTGAACTTCCAAAGTTCTGAAGCATGCAATAATCGATTATCACTTATGCAATAATCGATTATCAGTCTTTGCAGCCAAAACCCAGAATCTTTTGAGAGGACCAATAATCGATTATCACTTGTTGACAATCGATTATCTGGGTTACCGTTGTCCTCCAACGGATAGAATTTTAAATTTTTTGGACAAGGAATCTTTTGATAATCGATTATCAAGCTTGGATAATCGACTATCAGCCTGTGTCCCTGAAAAATATGTCTTCATCCTGTTGGAAACTCTAGCAACGGGTTTATCCCATTTTGGGCTATAAAATGGCACACAAATCCTCTCATTTTATACACAATTCTTCAACATTTCAATACTCTTTCATTTCATAATCATTCCTAATTTTCTTAGCTATTTGAGAGCCAATTCGTGAAGAAATTGTCGTGTTCTTGAGCATTTACTAGTTCACTCATATCTACTCTTTGTGAGAGTTTTATTCCTGAGTGTTTAAGTGTTTTCATACACTTTAAGGGAGGCTGTTCCCTTGTTGTAAACTCGAAGGAAGTTCCTTGTTCCTTCGTGAGAAGTCTTGGAGTGCGGTATCTCCGAGCAAAGGTGTTGAGGCTTGTGTGACTCGGGTTCTCAAGTTGTATCGGTTTGTTAAGCACCCTTAAGCTTAACGGAGTTAGTGTAGCTCGAGAGAGTCTCTTGGGGGGCTAGATTAGCCACACATTGTGGTGAACCAGGATAAAATTCGGTGTGCTCCTTCCTTACGCTCTTTACTTTAACGCTCTCGTTTTTTAATTTCCTGCGATTTTATTTTAAACGCTATTCACCCCCCCTCTAGCGTTGGGCCTTTATTCTAACAATTGGTATCGGAGCCATACTCTCTGAAAGACTTAACCGTTTGAGAGAAACGATCAATCGCTTCTACTCAAAGTTCATACGCAGGTTTAGGTGAAGGGCAAACTACACCTATTGGAAGGAGCGGATGGGGATTTACATCCAATCCACTAACTTTCTCCTTTGGAGAATTATCAAAACTGGTGAGGACGTGCCAATGAAGAAGGTCGAGGAAACCAACGTCCCTAAGACCGAGGATGAATATGATGCACAAGACATCAAGAAGGTGGAAAACAATGCCAAGGCCATCAACATCATCTATTGTGCCGTTAACCCGGATGACTACCGGAAGATTTCTTGTTGCACCATCGCAAAGGAAATGTGGGACAAACTAGAAATCACCTATGAAGGTACGGATCAAGTCCGAGAAGCTAAAATTGATTTTCTAACCCATGAATATGAATTGTTTCGTATGAAGGAAAGCGAGAAAATTGATGAGATGTTTGAATGATTCTCCAAAATCGTTAATGATCTTCATGCTCTCAAGAAGACGTACACAGACAAGGAGCTTGTGAGAAAAATCCTGCGATGTCTCACACCGGAGTGACGCTCCAAAGCCGATGCCATTCAAGAGTCCATCGGCATCACCAATGTCACCATTGACGGACTTAGAGGTAACCTCAAAACCTATGAGTCCACCATTCTATTCCCTTCTTTAGGTGAACAAAAGAAGAAGGGGATTGCACTCAAGGCTACCTCAAGCCAAAAACCTGCCATAGAGAAATCAAGCGATGAGGACAACGAGTGCGGGCTCGTCATCAAAAAGTTCCACAACTTCATGCGAAAAGAGTATGAACGAAAGGGAAAAAAGCATGGAGGACCACCCAAGTGCTATGAGTGTGGAGAAGTTGGGCACATCAAGCCAAAATGCCCAAATGCACAAAAAGAGAAGGAGAAGAAACCGTTCAAGAAGCACCGAGCTTACATTTCATGGAGAGGTGATTCCAGCGATGAGTCATCGGAAGGCGAAGAGAATGAAAGCGCCAACCTTTGCCTCATGGCACACGAGGAACCACCGGAAGAGGTATGTACCACTTCTAAAGATTCCTATACTTTTGATGATGTACAAGAAGCCTTTAATGAACTTTATAATGAATATGTCAACGCGTCTAAAATTAACAAGGATTTGAAGAAACAACTTACTTCCATGGAGAAGGAAGTTGATAAACTATCAAAAGATAATGAAAAACTTAAAGAAGAAATTGTGATCAAAACCGACAATAAATTCAAGTCTCGGTTCTCAAAAAGTCAAAACAATTTTTACAAATCATAAAATATTTTTTTGCATCATAACAAACATTTTTTGATGATTTCTTTTATTGTTAAAATCCCTGGTCTTTGCTCGGAACCGAAACCACCTAAGTCGGCGTTCGGCTTTCAGCGTTCGGTTTTTGGCGCCCGAACCAACTCCGTGGTTTTCAATATTTTAAACCACAACTTGTGGCTAATCCAGCCTCCCGAGAGACTCTCTCGAGCTACACTACTATCTCGTTAAGCTTAACGGTGCTTAACAAACCCATACAACTTGAGAATTCGAGTCACACGAACCTCAACGAACCTTCGAAGGAAACAACCCTTCCTTCGAACAACAAGAGAAATACCTTCTCTTGTTAAGGGTTTAAGAACACTAAAAACACTCAAGAACAAAACTCTCTTTTAGAGTGGATAATGAGTAAACTAAGAACGCTCAAGAACACAACACAAGCTTCACAAAAAAATGGCTCTCAAAAGCTATGAATAATTGAAGAATGATTTGCAATGAAAGAGTAGGAGTTGTGAAGTAATGTGATATGTAAAACAGACTCAAACACCCCATTTTACAGTAGAAAAATAAGCTCCAACGGACCAAAGTATTTAAGGGGTGATTGGCACAATTTGTGGGATTTGATGAAATTTGGATCTGTTGAAATTCACCCAGACAGCGCTGTCCTAGGCTTGGACATCGCTGTTCTAGGCTTGCATTTTGAGAAATGGGAAGCAACGGTCATGCCAACAGCGATGTCTAAAATCCCTACATCGCTGTTTTGGCTGTTGACTTCCAAACAAGGAATGTTTTAGCCTTAAATTCCTTCCAACGGTCAGGTCTCTACATCGATGTTCCATACTAGAACATCGCTGTTTAGGTCTGCCTTTGAAGATGAAAGTTTGGCCTGACAGCGCTGTTTCTGGGTCAACATCGCTGTCCAAAAACTTTCTGCCAATGCACAATATCTTTGGCTTAGGTTGGACAGCGCTGTAGGGAAGCCTACATCGCTGTTCCAGTAGTTTCTGGAAATCCAACCTTGGCTCAACAGCGATGTCTAATGTCCAACATCGCTGTTGGAGGACTTAACGCCAAACCATGTTTTTAGCTACCCAAGCTAGACAGCGCTGTTGGTTACCTCAACATCGCAGTTGGGCTGGTTTAGCCAGACCCATGGTTGGTTTAGTCACGCCGTTAGCCGATGTCAAAAATGTGAGTTCTCCAAAATAAAATCCAAGTATTGAAAATGTTTGTTTAATGCATTTTTCTAAGAAATCAAGTAAAACATTTTGAAAACCACGTCATTTAGTTGAAAACCACGGCTAGCCAAGTTTACGCCGTTTCGCATGGTTTTCACTAAGCGACCAAAACGAAAGGTGGTTTTTGAAGCGTTTTTGTTGGAGAACTATTTAAATATGCCCAGAAGTAAAAACTAATCATTAAAAGTTGAAAACCACTTGGTTGGTTCGAACACCAAAAACCAACGCCGATAACCGAAAGCCGAACGCCGGTTTCTGGAGACCGAACGCCGGATGGCTTGGTTTTTGGTTTGGACGAACTCCAAGTGTTTTGAGGCAGGTTTAAGACTTAAGAAAATCATTTTGAATATGCAAAAAATATTTTGATAAAATGAGCCTAGAGAGCCATGTTTTGAAGGTTTGTGCCGGTCTTGATCACATTAAAACCGACTCAATATAATTCTAAGTCTTCGTTCTTGATTCTTGGTTCTCAGTTCATCATGCCATGTTCCTTCGCCATGGTTTCGCTCAGTTTAACCTTGTTATTGTCAAGGCGGTTTGGCATTATCAAAACCTGTCATAAAACGAACACGGCTTGGTACGACATAGGCGTAAACCTGTGTTCCAACAATATAAGTGATCGGAAGGGCTGTAGGCGGAAACACCTGTAACCCCGTTTGTTATTGATAATAATAGGAATATTACCAAGCACAAGCCGTACAGAATAATTAAAGCGTGCCTCATAAATGAGGCGCTTAGGGGTATTTATAATAATCCTAAGCACGTCAAGCACGTCATTGATCATCTAGCCGGTCAGTTCACTGACCGGTCCCTTTGTACGCCTTCAGAGAAGAAGCTGTGTCTTTGGTTTCAGATATTCTCATCCCCAACCGGTCAGACATCCCGGGTTGACTAGGTGTTAGGAAAATATTATAGATTTTGATGATGATGTATTTAGATTGTAATAGGAACTTTAGGTCTTCCCCAATATTCAATGTAATTTTTCTTTTTAGAAATATTGTTAAAACCGAGTTCTTGAGATTTCCAATAAAGTTGTGATATTTCACTCTGTGAGTTGCTGTCAATCTTTGAAGACTTAATCAAAATCAGTGATATGGAAATTGGATATCTTGATCGGAAATGTCAGAGACAAGTAAGAAATTCTCAAAGCAGTTGATTACTTTGAAGATTCTAAAATCCGGAACACTTCACTGTAACCGGATGTCTCGCAACAACCCGCTGAAGGCTAAGTCATCCGGATCGGAAGACTAGCGCAGATTTCTTTCTCACCCGGAAGTCTATGAATGACTTTTCCGGAATTGTAAGCGAAGAACCGGATGCCTCGAGAAAGACCGGAATTCTCAAAAGTAGACAAGTGAGATAAGGACTTAGAAAATTATCTAAGTCTTGAATGAAGATATTCTACCCGTTGGTAAGGAAAAATCAATCTCTTGATTTTCAACGGATAGATTGAGGAAAATTAAGCTGATTCAAGAACAGATGACTTGAAGACAAAGTCTGGACCTCTCAAATTAAAGAGCTCGCCTAGAATTCTCAAACAAGCACTAGAAGACAAACTGAGTACTCCACTCAGTAAAGAGCTACAGTTCATAATTCTTGAACAACAACTAAAGGACGGATTCTGTGAAAAAGGAATCCAACTTGAAACAATTGGGTATGTCCAAACACCCATTCCAATGAAGAATCCTCAATCACAATCTTCATTGAACTTGAAGCCAACAAATGCAACGGATAGTCTATTTTGATCCAACGGATAGATTACCCAATCCAGCTATATATAGCATCCATGGAAGACTGGAGAAATACAGAAGATAGATGAGATACATGAGATAACACAGAACAGACAATTGATCAATCATCAACCTAACATCAACGAAAGCTATCTCATTCACAGTTAGCCAAAAAGCTTGATAAAGAGAGATCTCTAAACTCCTTATCCGGAAGCAAACTTCTCCTCCTTCCAAATAGCTATAGTGTAAACACTTGAAAGTTTCCTTGCCTCAAGTACCACACCACGTTGAAGGATACATCTTTTAATCAAACTTCTTGATTAGAAAGGGGGTACATCAACTTTCCTACAAGTTGATGTTGCAAGTCCTATTGTTCGGATCTTGCAGTTGTTGAAGAAGCTTGACCTTCAAAGGAACAACAAAGCTAGCACGTGTGCAGTAGCAACATTGGCCTTGCGAAGATATACCGTGCTAAAATTCACACAAGTGTAATTGTTGGTTCATTATTAAACAACCAACTACATAGTGGATTTTGAGGACGTAGAATGATTACCCCACCTTCGAACCTCGTTAAAGTTTGCGTGTCTTTCTCTCTTTTATCTTTACTCATACTTGAAATTATATTAACTGTGAAACTAACCCATCCATATTGATTACTGCTCGATTAACCCACCAACTTCCGAATACAATCTAAGGTTCACAAGAACTCTAGAATAACACTCATTTTTATGTTTTCAAAAGAAACGAAAATGTTTTATAAATTATATCAAAGTTTATTCACCCCCCTCTAGACTTTGTATCTCACCACTTTGGGACCACCAATTGGTATCGGAGCAGCCTTCTCACTATCTACTCTTAGATTAAAGAGAAGCGATCACAATGGTGAACAATATGGATCACGGTTTGCCCAAGTTTTCTCTTCTGGTTATGATGATTGGAAGATCATGATGGAAGCACACCTCTACGCTCTACATGATTGTATGTGGATGGTGCTTGAAGATGGACCCTTGAAAATCCAAATGGAGAATCCAGAGAGAAATCCAACCAATCCAGATGTAGTCCAGTACATTCCAAAGCCCAAGGAGAAATGGGATGATAGAGATTGCAAAAAGCACAATCTGGACAACGTCGCCAAAGCAGGCATCTTCAAGACACTTGATCCCATCACCTTCTCCAAGATCATGCATCTCAAGACAGCCATGGAGATATGGCAAGGTCTTGGGAAGTTATGTGAGGGATCAGAGGATCTGAGAAAGCAGAAGATAGAGGTCTTGCTCGAGAAGTTCAAAAGCTTCAAAATGCTTCCCGGAGAATCATTTGATATGTTGGATGAAAGATTCCACAAAATCTTAAATGATCTTGCATCACTTAACCACGTTCTTTCGCCCAAAGAAAAGAATGTAAGGTTACTAAAATCTCTTCCAGCTGAGTGGTACACCAAAGCCACATCCATGGAAGAAGGAAGAAATCTGGAGAACTACGCTGTCCAAGGTCTCCTAGATGAGCTCAGAACCTATGAGCACGAGCTGAAGAAGAAGAAGGAAGAACAAGTAACTCCATTTCCCACGGCACTAATGACAACTCCAAGAGTCCCAACAAGCGAAGGGACATGCCCAAGGAACTGTGACACTCCTTCATCCAGTCAGCCATCAAAAACGGAGAACTACGATGAGGAATTTGCCATGATGGTCAAGCAATTCCGGAAGTTCAAAAAGTTCTTCAAGAAAGCTGACTCAGTCAGAAGGCCATCCAAGAGAAAGCCACAGGTAAGTGACTCCCCTCCCGAATCTTATTTATGTTATAATTGCAGGAAGCCTGGTCATTGGAAGTCAGCATGCCCGTACCCAAAAGTGGAGAAGTACGGAGAAAGAGAAAGAAACGAGAAGAAGAAGAAGGCAATGGTTGCAGCTGAAAGTGACAATTCATCCAGTTCAAGCTCAGATGAAGAAGCCCTCGTCTGTGTAGAGCGTAGAACTGAGAAGTCCAACCATGAGGATTGGTGGACTATGTCAGAAGATGACACTCTCTGCCTAATGGCCAAGAATGATGCTGATCAAGAGGTAACTTCACAAACCTTCTGTTCATCTTCTTATGAAAGCATACCAACTTCTGAAAATATTTTTGACAAGTTCAAACAGATGATGGAAGATTTTGAGGAAATAAATCTTAAACACTCATCCTTAACAGAAGAGAACAAGCTACTGAGTGAAGAGAATCTCAAGTTGACTGAAGGTCGGAAAAGTCAACTAAGTGAGATTACTCAACTCAGGGCAGAGAATGAATCTCTTTCTGAAAAGGTGAAATTCCTCAACAAGGAGCTAAGGATACTAAAGTCCAAAGAAGCTGTGCATAAGCTTCTTGAAAAGACCAAACATAAGGGTCGTGAAGGACTTGGTTTTAACCCCTCCAGTTCCAAAAGGAAAGGGAGAACAACTTTTATCCCTCCCAAACCTACTGCAAAACCCAATAAGCAGAAAGGTAAGGAGAAGGAGAAACCTACAGAAGTTCCCAAAAAGGTAGTCCCTCCTATAAACTATAGGAAGCTGGACACACCTCAAAGAGGAAACAATTTTAGAAGAAAACCTTCTAACCCCCACTATACACGAGGCTATACTCATTATGGGGCAGATAGGAGTTTTCCAAGAAATTCTGAGTGGAGAAATATGCCCAGATATAGTCATCCTCCACCACAGAAACTATTTGTTCCACCTAAGTATGTTTACAACCATCACAGGTCACACTATACACAACCTAGACAAAACTATAGGTCTTACCAACCTAGATTTGCTAGGAGGAATCAGGAAATTGCACCACCTGCGCGTAGGAAGTTTTATGCCTACAACTATGATTATAATCCCAATAAGTTTAGGGCTGCAAGGAAAATTCAAATTCCCTGCAACTTCAAACTTGATGTGGAAACACACACCATTAACTATTCTGGACCCAAACTAAATTGGGTACCAAAATCTTCCTCCTCTTGATGCAGGAAGCCACTAAGTACCCAGGTGTTTGGTACTTAAACAGTGGATGTTCAAGACACATGACGGGTGATGCAAGCCTTTTGAGCAATCTAATTCCCTATGACGGTCCAAGAGTTACTTTTGGAGGAAGCAATGATTTTGGCCTTACAAAGGGGCTAGGAAATCTGGTGTACAAGGGATTAACCATCCAGGCTCGGTCTTATGTGGAAGGTCTCAACTATAACCTTCTTAGCATAAGTCAGTTCTGTGATAAAGGTTATTCTTTGGAATTCTACAAGGACATGGCATCCCTCAAGACCATCTCGTCAAATGAAGTCATTCTGAGTGGAAAGAGAATCAGAAACATCTATGAAGTGATGTGGGACGATGTCAAGGAAGCGTGCCTAATCAGCAAAGGTGACACTAACCTCCTATGGCTTTGGCATAAGAGGTTGAGTCATCTCAACTTCAAAACCCTCAACAAACTATCCAAAGAAGGGTTAATAGAAGGTCTTCCCAAAGCTGTGTAGAAGGAAAGCATTTGTGATGCTTGTCAGAAAGGAAAGCAAGTCAAGTCCACTTTCAAGGCAAAACCGGCACACTCAACTACAAGGATACTAAGTCTTATTCACATGGACTTATTTGGACCTGTATCACCACTAAGTCTAAGTGGAAAGAAATATGTCCTGGTAGTAGTTGATGACTATTCAAGATACACGTGGATAATCTTCCTCAACACTAAGAAGGAAACTCAGGGAAAGCTCACAAACTACATGAAGCTGATTTAAAACCAAGCAAGTCAGACCATTCAGAAGATCAGATCTGACAAAGGCACAGAATTCCTAAATGAAATCATCATTCATTACTGTGAAGAACACGGAATTCTTCATCAGACATCTGCAGCAAGGACACCTCAACAGAACGGTGTAGCTGAAAGAAGGAACAGAACCTTGAAGGAAGCTGTAAGAACCATGCTGGGAGAAGCTTACTTGCCAAAGAGGTTCTGGGCTGAAGCTGTAAACACTGCTTGCTATACTCAAAATAGGAGTATGATTTATAAAAAGCACAACAAAACTCCCTATGAATTGTGGAATGGGAGAAAGCCTAATATATCATATTTTTATATTTTTGGGAGCAAGTGTTTTGTGTTAAAAAACTGGAAGAATCATCTGAACACTTTTGATGAGAAATCAGATGAAGCCATCTTCCTTGGGTACTCTATGGTGAGCAAGGCATTCAGAGTCTTCAACAAAAGAACGATGATCACTGAAGAGTCAATACATGTTATTTTTGATAAAAAAACATGTAGTTGACAAGCCATCAAAGCATGATCATGAGGTTCTTGATCTCTCAAACAAAGATGAAGAAATCAATGAAGGAGATAGAATGAAGCCTACGGAGTTCATTCCATTCGGAAGTCTACCTTTGAAGACTTCACAGAGAAATCCGGACAGTGCTAAGCCTACCGGAAATCATGGTCAGCCTTCCAACATTCCGGATCACTCACATGGTGACCATTCCAGAAATGGCGGTCAAGAGCCAATCCATCCGGAAACACCAACAAACTCTGTTCTTCAACCAGAAGCTGAACTAGATCAGCCAGTCAATCCTAACCAACACAATCTTCGTTGGTTAAGGGATCATCCTCCTCAACAAGTCATTGGAGATATTCAATCAGGCGTTCGCACAAGGAGTGCTCAACAGAATCTAGAAGCCATGCTTGCCTGTTTCATCTCGCAAGTAGAACCAAAGAGCATTGAAGAAGCTCTAGCTGATTCTGATTGGATCAATGCAATGCAAGAATAACTCAACCAATTCACCAGAAATGACGTCTGGAAACTTGTTCCCAGACCTACTCATCAACATGTCAATGGGACAAAGTGGGTCTTCCGGAACAAGATGGATGAAAACGGCGTTGTTGTAAGAAACAAAGCCCGGTTGGTTGCCAAAGGTTATTGTCAAGAAGAAGGTATAGATTTTGATGAAACCTTCGCTCCAGTTGCTAGACTTGAAGCTATAAGGCTGTTTCTAGCCTTTGCTGATCACAAGGACTTCAAAGTCTATCAAATGGATGTTAAAAGCGCATTTCTCAACGGAAACCTAGAGGAAGAAGTCTATGTGGAACAACCTCATGGATTTGAGTTACACACTAAAGAGCGATCAAGTGTATAGACTCAAGAAGGCGCTATATGGACTCAAACAAGCACCAAGAGCTTGGTATGATATATTGTCTCAATTTCTAAGAGACAATGGATTCATCAAAGGAGTCATTGACAAGACCTTGTTCAAATTTCAAGATGGAGAAGATCTCCTTTTGGTCCAAATCTATGTGGACGACATCATATTTGGCTCAACTAAGGAAGCTCTTTGCACCAAGTTCTCCACCCTCATGCAAGGAAAATTTGAGATGAGCATGATGGGGGAACTCAACTACTTCCTTGGTCTTCAAATCAAACAGAGAAGTGAAGGGACTCTCATAAATCAAGCGAAGCACACAAGGGATCTTATCAAGAAATTCAAAGTTGATCAGAAGTCATCCGTTTCTGTCCCCATGAGTACATCCACCAAGCTTGACATAGATGTAGATGGAAAGGATGTTGATCAAACTCTCTACAGAGGAATAGTTGGATCTCTACTCTACCTTAGTGCAAGCCGCCCGGATATCACATATGCAGTAGGTGTTTGTGCTAGATTCCAGTCAAAGCCAAAGGAAAGTCATTTAGTTGCTGCCAAAAGGATTATTAGATACCTCAAAGGAACTCAGAATATGGGTTTGTGGTATGCTAAGAGCAGCTCATTTGAGTTAGTGGGATACTCAGATTCTGACTTTGCCGGATGCAAAGTTGACCGGAATAGTACATCTGGCACTTGTCAATTCATTGGCGGAAATCTTGTTTCTTGGTTCAGTAAGAAACAGAACTCCATCTCTACATCAACAGCAGAAGCAGAGTACATTACTGCTGGTAGTTGTTGGGCTCAAATCTTGTGGTTAAAGCAACAACTACTGGATTATGGAGTAAAAACAAAGGAAGTGACAATATTTTGTGACAATCAAAGTGCTATAACCATCTCACAAAATCCAGTGCATCACTCTCGCACTAAGCACATTGATGTCAAGCATCACTTCATCAGAGATCATGTGGAAAAGAAGGATATCAAAATTGAGTACATCTCAACTGAAGAGCAACTGGCGGATATCTTCACAAAACCACTAAGGGCCCGTTTGGTATACAGAATTGATGGAATTAGAAATGAATTGGAATTGAAATTCCATGGGATTCAATTCCATAGAATTGAATTCAGCCAATTCTAATTCATTTTTTGCACTATCAATTCCAAATCCAAATAATTTTTGTGCTACCAAACACCAGAATTGGAATCGAAGTGTAACACCCTCCGTCCCGCGAACCCGGTTCACCGCGGTCCAACGTGCCAGAGAGGTTACGTAGACGGTTTTAAGGCCGTCTACAAGGAACACCCCTTGCGTGGCTTGTAACGGAAAACCCTTGACATGCTTTATTAAATGATGAGGATGGATTCACTTAAAAGAAGTTTATAGCGGAAGTAAATGTAAGTAAAATTGTTAGGTCATAAATAACGTAAATGCGACAAAAGGTGGGTTCATGCCCAAAACGTTTTCATAAATCAAATAAGTAATTCATCTGGCCCGCACTGTCGTTCATCCGCAGCTCCTATCACCCAGTCATCCGGGTCAGGCTCCATGGTTCTCTTGCCTACCTGCGTATAGCAAAGGGAAAACAACGCTATATGCTCAGCAAAAGCTGAGTGGTAATCTAACAGTAGAACGCATAGCACATTCACATTGATATAGACATGATCGTACCTAGACTAAGTACGAGATACCACATGCAAGTTTAAAAGTTTACAATTATCAATGATTCAATACCAAACAACATGATGCATGAGTTAGACTGCGCAAGGACCCCCTGCCCTTCGATGATCATCCCCACGCGGTAGATGAGCCGAGGAACGCCTTAGTCATCCCAATGGAGACTAGAATGTGGGTGATAGCTAAGCCTAGCTACCATGTACGTACACAAGCCCTCGTGATGAAAACCCGTTGGATCCCGCAGGTTCCTGGACGGGCCCACGGAAGAGGCGCACTGGGCCTGACCCCTCGCCGTGGTATGCAACGTATGCCATGGTCCTAAACATGCGTCTAGGATATACATGATGATATGAATGCATGGGTTGGAGAGTGAAATTATATCCAACACATGCAAATATATTCGGTTCCGTATGTAAACAACTTGTTCAACATGGCGGACCTGGGTTCAGAACTAGCTGATAATCAATTAACCACATCTGATAATTGATTATCATGTTACGCAGTTCCTGTTCCCAAGTTTCGCAAGCCATGATAATCGATTGTCTCCTCATGACAATCGATTGTCAAAGTATTTGTTCAGGACACCCAAGTTTAGAGGGGCCTGATAATCGATTATAGGTATGTGATAATCGATTGTCAAAAGAACCAGCCCAGACTTGAGATTCCGCAGGACCCAATAATCGATTATCAGCAAGGTGATAATCGATTATCACGTCTTGCTGAAAAACTGAGGAGTTCAGCGCGACCTACAAATTGATTGTCAGATTCTGTAAATCGATTATTAAGCCACGCTGGTTCCTATTTTTGCCTGTTGGATTTTCATTAAGACGTTGAGGGTTTTAGAAATGAACGTTTATGTTTCCAGCTTACGTAATGATGAGTTTGCAACGTTTTGTAACGTTTATACTAACAAGTGTGTAATCGAAAGGCCTACTAACCGAAAAGTCATGACGATGTGGGTGCACGTAGGTTTAGCCGGTAATCCTATGAATATAACGATATGATTATACTACGAATTCTAAAGTTAGAGGGCAACGTACTCACCTCTAAACATAGAGATTTACGATAACGGTAACGGATGAATGAACGGCTAACGAACGGACAACGAACGACGAACGGATGGCTTCTCGTGTAGCCCTTCTTCCCTTCTCCCTTCTTCTTCTCCTTCTTGCCGGAAACTACCTCGCCTGGCTGCTATGAACTGGCCGAATACAAGAGAGGGGAGAGGATGAGAGTATGGAGATTGATGGGGGTTACAATGGTGGGGAATGTGAAGAGGAGAGGGAGGATTATATTAAAGGGGAATTAAGGGGGAGATAATTGAGAAATGATGAGGCATTTAAGGGAAGAAATGGGTGTGTGTGGCGTGGAAGATTAAATGGGGAGGTTACCTCCCTTACTTTTGTCCCGTTGTGTAAAATCTGACGTGAACGGTACGCGGTATTTCCCCGAACGGGTCCGAATTGAGATCCGTTTACGTTTCTGGAATCAGACAGTCAAAACGAATATTATGACATAATCAAATAATTTTTCTAAGGATTTTATTTTTTTCCAAACCCCGGTCCGAGTTAGTAATTAATTAATTAGATTAATCAATTCTAATAGACCGGGTCGCAGGGCGTTACAGTTATCCACCCGTTAAGAAAATTTCGTCCTCGAAATTTACCTGATCACTGGTCACTGAAAAGATGGGGATAACGGGTGCGCATGGATTCCTCCGTTTCCCAAGTCGCCTCCTCAACGGTGTGACTTCTCCACAGAACCTTGACCAACGGAATGGTTTTGTTCCTCAACTGACGGATCTCCCGAGCCAAAATCTCAACCGGCTCCTCCTCATATGTAAGGTTCTCGTCGAGAGTGACCGTATCCGCTGGGATCACGTGTGAAGGGTCTGACCGGTACCTTCGGAGCATAGACACGTGGAATACATTATGAATCCTGCTCAACTCAGATGCTAATTCGAGCCTGTAGGCTACAGGTCCCACACGTTCAGTGATTGGGTATGGGCCTATAAACCTCGGACTAAGTTTTCCCTTCTTGGCGAAATGCAAAACATTCTTCCAAGGAGATACCTTCAAGAAAACCTTATCTCCCATTGCATACTCGATATCGCGTCTCTTAAGGTCGGCGTAGGACTTTTATCAGTCCGATGCCACCTTAAGCCGGTCCTTAATTACTTGGACCTTCTCCTCGGTTTCACGAACTAGATCTGGCCCTTCCAACTTCCTCTCGCTGAGCTCCGTCCAGCAAGTAGGAGTCCGGCACGGCCTACCGTACAAAGCCTCGTACGGTGCCATACCGATGCTAGCCTGGTAGCTGTTGTTGTATGCGAACTCCATCAACGGTAGATATCGCTCCCAACCATCCCCGAAGTCGATCGCGCAGGCGCGCATCATATCCTCGAGGATCTGGATAACCCTCTCGGACTGACCGTCCGTCTGTGGGTGGAAAGCCGTACTGAAGTGAAGATCGGAGCCCAAGGCTTTCTGTAGGCTCTTCCAGAACTGTGACGTGAAACGCGGGTCACGGTCCGAAATGATAGATGAGGGAACTCCATGTAACCGGATGATCTCGCGGATGTATAGCTCCGCTAGACGCTGTAAAGAGAAATCTCGTCGTATCGGAAGGAAATGGGCGGACTTAGTCAAACGGTCCACAATGACCCAAACTGTATCGTTCTTGCGAGGCGACAAAGGTAGCCCCACGACAAAGTCCATGGTGATACGATCCCACTTCCACTCGGGAATCGTAATCTGCTGAAGTAGTCCGCTCGGTACCTGGTGCTCAGCCTTAACCTGTTGGCATGTCAAGCATCGTGCTGTAAACTCTGTGATCTCTCTCTTCATCGCAGGCCACCAGTAATGCTTCCGGAGATCCTGGAATATCTTGTTACTACCGGGGTGCATGGTATATACCGTACCATGTGCTTCACGGAGGAGACGTTCCCTTACCTCCCCCACTGGCACTACCACACGTGCCCGATACAACAAGACACCATCCTCACGGACAGAGAAGTCGGGTTTCTCGCCCCGAGAGGCGAGCTCACAAGTCTGCCTGTAGAAATTGTCGCTGCTCTACGCCGTCACAATCTCATGCAACAATGTAGGCTGAACATGGAGTAAGGCTAGAGTTTTGCGACTAAGAGCATCAGCCACCACATTCGCCTTACCAGGGTGATAAGCGATATGACAGTCGTAGTCCTTAATCAACTCCAACCATCTCCGCTGTCGTAGATTCAAATCCTTCTGACTCAAGAGATACTGCAGACTTTTATGATCGGTGAAGATACGCGTCGTCTCGCCGTACAGATAATGCCTCCAAATCTTGAGAGCGAGAACGATCGCCGCGAACTCTAGATCGTGTGTTGGGTTGTTGCACTCGTGCGGCTTCAACTGCCGAGACGCATAAGCTACAACCTTACCTCCTGCATAAGAACACACCCTAGGCCATTGTGTGAAACGTCGCTGTATACCGTATACTCCACTCTTGGGGTCGGCTGAACCAATACGGGTGCCTGGGTCAAACACTCCTTCAGTTTCTCGAAGCTCTGCTGACAAGCCTCGGTCCAATCAAACTTCACATCTTTCTTCATTAACTTGTGCAAAGGTGAAGCTATCCTTGAGAAGTCTTTCACGAATCGGCGGTAGTATCCTGCCAACCCGAGGAAACTCCTCACCTCTTGAGCATTGCGTGGAATCTTCCACTCTGTGACCGCCGAGATCTTACACGGGTCCACCTTCACTCCTTCATCCGAGATGACGTGGCCGAGGAAGGTGACCTCGTGCAACCAAAACTCACACTTGGACAGCTTGGCATGAAGTTTCTGCTCTCGTAGGATGCCGAGTACCGTGCGCAGATGCTCCGCGTGCTCCTCATGCGTCTTGGAGTACACCAGGATATCATCGATGAAAACGACCACGAACTTATCAAGATACTTACGAAACACACTGTTCATCAGATCCATGAAGACAGCCGGTGCGTTGGTCAACCCAAAAGGCATCACCGTGAACTCGTAGTGACCATAACGTGTACGGAACGCTGTCTTAGGAATATCCTCCTTCTTGACCGGGATCAGATGGTACCCTGATCGCAGATCAATCTTAGAGAAGACTGTGGCTCCTCTCAACTGATCGAACAAGTCATCAATGCGAGGAAGAGGATAACGATTCTTGATGGTGACTTTGTTCAGCTGACGGTAATCGATGCACAACCTCATCGAACCGTCCTTCTTGCGAACGAATAGGACTGGTGCACCCCAAGGGGACACACTAGGACGTATGAAACCCTTATCCAAGAGCTCCTGCAGTTGAGCCTTCAGCTTCTTCATCTCTGCCGGGGCCATACGATAAGGTGTGATGGAGATGGGTCCCGTACCCGAAACCAAGTCGTGGAGAACTCTACCTCCCTCGGGGGTGGTAGTCCGGGCAGCTCGTCTGGAAATACGTCTGGAAACTCGCACACCGTAGGGATTTCCTCCCGTCCAGGTGTCTCTAGCTGCGTGTCGCGGACGGTGCAAAGAAAGGCCTCGCATTTCTTGCGTATGAGGCGGCGAGCTTGCATATATGAGATAAATTCAGGAGCCTTCAGGAAAAGCTCGCCACGGATCAGAACGTCATTACCATCTTCGGCTTTCAGCTGTACCGTATGTGCGCCACAATCAACAACGGCTTGATTGGCTGTAAGCCAATCCATGCCGAGGATAACATCGAATTCTCGATGTGGGAGCTCTATCAGATTTGCAGGGAAGCTCTTCCCTTGCACAACTAGCGGACAGTCAGGATAGATATATTTGAGACATAGACTGTGTCCCAACGGATTGGACACAATCACCGGATTTTCCAGGTTCTCTCTCGGAATATTAGACGATACAGGCATAGATGTACACAGATATGACAATGTGGAACCTAGGTCAATCAAAGCAGATATGGATGTATCGAATAAGGTGATCATACCCATAATCACATCATGAGCGGCCTACTCAGTATGTCCATGCATCGCATAAGTACGGGCTGGAGCCTTCCCGGACTGAGCGCTCTGTGCCGGCCTTCTCGGTTGACTGGACGCCGCTACTGACTTATGACTCGGTGCGGGCTGGGCGGCTGGAGCTGAGGTTGCAGCTGCGGGCACTGTCGGGAACACCTCGCCAGGGTTCGTCGGGCAGTTCCTGCGGTAATGCCCGGCCTGTCCACACCCAAGGCATAGGCCCTGAGTGAACCAGCACTCGCCAGAGTGCCTCCGGCCGCAAAGGTTGCAGATCGAGTTCCGATATCCGCTCTGACTCTGGCTCTTCCCACTTTTCTGAGTGGGTGCTGACGACAGGGCTGGTGCGGACCTAACCTTCTTGCTCGAGTGCGAGTTGCTCGGTATGTGAGGAGGCCTCTTGCTGCTCGAGCCGGATCTGGATGGCGGTGGCGGTCAAGGATGCGTCGTCTGGGACTGCTCATACTCAGCCTTCCTGAGTAAGGCCGTCGGTAACTCCAACGCCTGCTTGTACAAGTCATTGATGTCATTCCTCGGTGCGGAGACCAGTCCGGAGGACAAATCAGGGCGTAACCCCTCCCTGAAGCGCTTGCACCTCTTCTCCACTGTCGGCACCAAGTCCCGACCAAACTCGGCCAGCTCATCGAACTTCTGGCGATACTCTAGCAGCGTAAGTTCACCCTGCGTGAACTTCATGAACTCGTCACGCTTCTCCTCCATGAAGTGCTCGGGCACATACTCCTCACGGAAGAGCTCGTCGAAGGTCGCCCACGGCACCGGCTCCGGGATGTTCGCTCCTGCGCATTTCCACCAGTCGTAGGCGGCATCCTGAAGTAAGGCGATAGCTAGGTCGCCTCTCTGCTCTGCTAGAACTCGTAAGGTCCCGAGTACTCAACTCACACGCTCGAGCCAGCGCTTCGCGGCCATGGGTTCCGCGATCTGGTCGCCACAGAACTCCTCGGCTCCGTTCTTCTTCAGCTTCTCAATCGTGACCACAACCACAGGAGGTGACGGTGGTGGTACATACGCCCCGGCCATCTGCTGGAGGAACTGGAGCATGTTGGCTGCAATTTGCGGCTGCAAATAAGGAACCGCTTGTGGCACAGCATTCGGTTGTGGAACCTGCGGCTCCAGAACTTCGTGCTGCGGTGTGAAGCTAGACGCCTCGATATGCACACTCACGTGCTCCTGTTCTCCCTGAGGACCAACTTGTCCATGCTCGGGAGCTTGACTCATCTCCTTTCTGGAAGGAGATTTCCTATCAGGTTAAGTAATAACAATAATACACAAGCCCTCGTGATGAAAACCCGTTGGATCCCGCAGGTTCCTGGACGGGCCCACGGAAGAGGCGCACTGGGCCTGACCCCTCGCCGTGGTATGCAACGTATGCCATGGTCCTAAACATGCGTCTAGGATATACATGATGATATGAATGCATGGGTTGGAGAGTGAAATTATATCCAACACATGCAAATATATTCGGTTCCGTATGTAAACAACTTGTTCAACATGGCGGACCTTGGTTCAGAACTAGCTGATAATCAATTAACCACATCTGATAATTGATTATCATGTTACGCAGTTCCTGTTCCCAAGTTTCGCAAGCCATGATAATCGATTGTCTCCTCATGACAATCGATTGTCAAAGTATTTGTTCAGGACACCCAAGTTCAGAGGGGCCTGATAATCGATTATAGGTATGTGATAATCGATTGTCAAAAGAACCAGCCCAGACTTGAGATTCCGCAGGACCTAATAATCGATTATCAGCAAGGTGATAATCGATTATCACGTCTTGCTGAAAAACTGAGGAGTTCAGCGCGACCTACTAATCGATTGTCTGATTCTGTAAATCGATTATTAAGGCACGCTTGTTCCTATTTTTGCGTGTTGGATTTTCATTAAGACGTTGAGGGTTTTAGAAATGAACGTTTATGTTTCCAGCTTACGTAATGATGAGTTTGCAACGTTTTGTAACGTTTATACTAACAAGTGTGTAATCGAAAGGCCTACTAACCGAAAAGTCATGACGATGTGGGTGCACGTAGGTTTAGCCGGTAATCCTATGAATATAACGATATGATTATACTACGAATTCTAAAGTTAGAGGGCAACGTACTCACCTCTAAACGCAGAGATTTACGATAACGATAACGGATGAATGAATGGCTAACGAACGGACAACGAACGACGAACGGATGGCTTCTCGCATAGCCCTTCTTCCCTTCTCCCTTCTTCTTCTCCTTCTCGCCGGAAACTACCTCGCCTGGCTGCTATGAACTGGCCGAATACAAGAGAGGGGAGAGGATGAGAGTATGGAGATTGATGGGGGTTACAATGGTGGGGAATGTGAAGAGGAGAGGGAGGATTATATTAAAGGGGAATTAAGGGGGAGTTAATTGAGAAATGATGAGGCATTTAAGGGAAGAAATGGGTGTGTGTGGCATGGAAGATTAAATGGGGAGGTTACCTCCCTTAATTTTGTCCCGTTGTGTAAAATCTGACGTGAACGGTACGCGGTATTTCCCCGAACGGGTCCGAATTGAGATCCGTTTACGTTTCTGGAATTAGACACTCAAAACGAATATTATGACATAATCAAATAATTTTTCTAAGGATTTTATTTTTTTCCAAACCCCGGTCCGAGTTAGTAATTAATTAATTAGATTAATCAATTCTAATAGACCGGGTCGCAGGGCGTTACACGAAGTCCTCAATTCCAATTCCATAGTTTGAATTCCGTGTACCAAACGGGGCCTAAGTGAAGCCAAGTTTTCCGATTTGCTTCACAAGATTGGTTTAATCCAATTAGACTGAGTGCGGTACACGTGGCAGTCCACTTACCACGTCTGATAAAAGTAATGGGTAGGCGCGTGGCCTTGGGAACAGTTGAAAACAAAATCGCCACTAGCCGCATAAATCGCCAAAAATTAAACCCAATCGCCACTATATTCAGACCTCAACTGTCCACTCAGCCTACTCAAATTTTCGTCGTCTTCCTCGTGAGAATTCTCTAGAACCCTAATTTCTTCAAATTCTTTCACCCAAAATTCAGCGAAAATGAAGATTGTCGGAGCTAATGTTCATTTCCAGAAATTAGAAGCCAAATGTTCTTCACCGGTGTTCTATCAAACTTATTTGGAGATGATTGATGCACAGGAACTCTCCGAATTCCTTCATCTGGAAATCGGCTTCAAGTATGAAGAAGTTCTTGAATTTTACAAGAACGGGAAGATCTCAACGATTCAATCCAAGAAGAACCCAGAGAGGACAATTCAATTAATTAAGTCCACTGTTGGAGGCACCAAGGTGAAGATTTCTCAGAAGAAATTGATGAAAAAGCTCCATCTTCCCAATTCCGAAATTGAAATTGGGAGGCTCCCGTCCAAGAATCTGGACTAGAAAACTACTGATTTCTAGACAAATCCCCTCTGGCCCAGCAAAGAAGACCGACTTGAAGAATGACTACAAATTGGTCCTAGAGCTAGTCATTGCATGCCTAGAATGTGGCAGTGGAGGACATGTAGATGACATAACTCAAGAAAGAGCAATCATCATCAACGCCCTTATCACCAGAACCAAGGTGAATTGGGTTAAACACTTTTTCAACTCTGTTTCAAAGCACATAGAAAAGCCCAAGCAGAAATATCTCTGTTAAGGACTGTATCTTGGGTACATTTTGGAATCCTTGGGTGTTGCTTCTGAAGGCAAGACGTATGATGCCAGATATTGGCTCCACTATTTGTCTTCCAAAGGAGAAACCAAAACAAGCTCTACTGCAGAAGATGAAGGCTCTTTAGACAATGTCCTAATTGTGAGTTTGAAGAAGTCCTCAAAAAGGAAGCGAGTGGTTTCTCCCTCTCCTAGTCATGAAGAACCACACACTCTTGCCCTAGTTAATTTGGATGAAGAAGAAGAAGTTCCTGCCCAGGGAGAACTTCAGAAGAAGAAGAAAAGAAGAATCTCCTCTCCCACTACATCTGGAAATGCAAATCCGGATGACTTGGTGGAAAAGGAATCACTTGAGGAAGCCTCTACACACAACCAGTGTGCTCAACAACTTGATGAAGATGAACAAATCCCTCAAGACCAGATTTTTCCATCTCCTCCATCACAAGCTCAAACTAATGATGAAGTGAGCAAATTCATACAGCTTTACTATGATTGGAGAGCTTGGAAAGTTGGAAACTCTGCAGATCAGTTGGTTAAATGGGATCAACAACTGAAAAATGAAAGCATTATCAAGAGGTGTTTGGGATAGCCAATCAACTACTGTTGTGAGCAGATTCTGGATGTGGAATGGGTCTGGCAGAAAACCTATGAAGATCTGCATCTGGAATACTTGGCCACCTCTCCAACTTCAGAGTTTGAAGCTGATGATGAGGACCCGGCTGTCTACAAACCAATCCTCTCAAAGCCAACTGAAGATCAGACTGCACTCACTACTGAAGCACAGGTTGACATGGAAGCTGAAGCTGAGGATTTCCAAGTTTTTCCGGAAACCTCACCTGCTCTTGATACTGTCCTGCCGGAAGCTGTTTAGGAGAATGCAGCTACTCCCCAGCAAGAACAGATTCAAACAGCATCTAAAGAAGAGCTTCTACAATCCCTCCAACTTCAAGTCCAAGAGATCCTCACAACAACTTGTGAGATCTCCAGTCAGATTAGACCTGAAATTCCGGAGAAATCATCAGAAGATTTGGAGAAGTCCACTCCTCCAGAAACAACAACAAATGAAGCGCAAGAAGAACCAGCCGTTGAAGTCCAAAGAAGCTTTGAAGAAGCTGAAAGAGAAGCTCAAATAGCTAGGCTGGAGGTCTCTGAAACTCCAGTGGCTATCTTTGAGCAGCCAATTGAAGATGAAGTCAATGATTCCCTCTCTAGGGATATCTCAAATTGTGGAAATAAAGAAACAGAGGAAGAGTCAGTGAAGACCCTGAAGATTAATGAAGAAGAAGCTGAGCAAAGAGATGATGCTGAATCTCTCTCTCTGCAACTCTTCCACAAAGCACCTTTTTCAAATCAGGTAACAAACTTTCACTTTCACAGCTCTTCAGCAACCACACCTCCGGATGAGATACCGGAAGCCTGGACAAGGAAGGTCCAAGGGTTGATTGAGTCAGCCCTGAAGTCTCAACATGCCTCTTTTAGGCAAGAGATAGAGCAGATGGAAACAAGGCACAACAAATTGATGGAAAAATCTGAAGAAAAGTATTGCTCAAATCTCAACGAGATATGCAAATCTGTAGACAAAACTCTAGAGATACAATGATGGTTTATGCATCTGACTTCCATCTTCAATTCAAAGAAGCCTCTGCAATCAAGCAGCAGATTGCCACAGTCACAGTCAATCTTTAGAAGCAGATGTCACTCCTCCAGATGGATATCAGATCAGCCTTGGCAGAGTCATTAGCAAACCAAGTGGTAACTCTAGATTACCTAGAGGTTCTTGCTGACAATCAAAAAAAAGCTTTCAGGCTCTTCAGACACTTTGGCACCTTCACTGGGAAACACAAGTTGGAAGTGATTGTTCAACCCAGAAGTCCATCTCAAATTCCGAAGTTTCCGATTGAAGTTAAACAAGGAGAACTCTCATACATTCCATCACACCTAAACATGACGGAGCTGATACTTGAAGCCCAGCAGAGCAATCCAGAGAACTCAATCCAACATCTGTCAAACACTGAGTTTGATGGAACAGAAGCTGTAGGAACCATTGCCTCCAACTTCACAAATGATGCCCAGACAAAAGAGAGATATAACAATCTCAAACGCATCCAAGAAGAGTGTGGAGTCATGCAAGGCATTGGTGAAGTTGCCGGATCATCCATGCGCAAGAAGAAGTGAATGCTCTTTTCATCAAAACAGGGGGAAGTATTGAAAACATTATTTTTGTTTTGATGAAAACACCTTCTAGTTTAAACATGAGTTTTTTGTTTAAACATTGCTTAATACATATCTTAATTATGCTTGAACATATTTCCTTTAAGTATGATTTTTGAGACTTATTATTGAGCGCACACATTCAGGGGGAATGTAATTCAGGGGGAACTTAACTGTTTTTGGCTAATACTTGTCTTGTGGCAATGAACTACTGATAAACTCTAAGAAATGGAAGATGGATACCTCAATTTTTACCAGAGTTGGAGATCTCCGATTCAGGTATTCTACAATATCTATCCTCCTAAACTTAGTTTCAATCCTTAGTTCATTTCCAACTATGCTCTAAAGTACTGGTCCTTAGGATTTTCACAATGTACATGACTGGAAAATTAATACCACTTTACTTTTAAAAATGAAATTTCTTTTTTTGGTACTACCTCATCCTAAATGAAAAATGATAGATTTTATTTTGGGCCATGAGAACCCAATAGGAATAATTTCCCTTTAGTACATAGATTTTTTTTGGGCTTAGCCAAACTAAAGCAGTTACGTTTTTCAAACCAAATGAAACTGATCTCATTTGAAACAGTTTCAAGACATTGGTAATCGGTAAAAGATTCTTTCAACTTGCCAAAATTAAACTCCTTGGGAGTTGAAACTCTTTTACTCTCACCGTTTCAACTACCCACTAAATGGAACCCGTGAACCTCCCCTTCTCAACTTCTCCTCCTATTTAAACCAACCCATTCCAATCCATCAAACACAATGCCATATGAACTTCCAAGCAACATTCGCTGGAAATGAAATCAGCAAATGACAAAAATATCACAGATCTCAAGACAAGACTTGGTTTAGGAACTGTTGTAATTTGAATTGTATTTGTTTAAGAGTTTTTTGTTAACAAGCTGTATGCTATGAGAAACTAAAAGAAAGTTATAAAATTAGTTCTCAGTACAGCGACCGGAACTCTTAAACACTTGTTTGCCATCATAAAAAAGGGGGAAATTGTTAGGAAAAATATTATAGATTTTGATGATGATGTATTTAGACTTTAATAGGGACTTTAGGTCTTCCCCAATATTCAATGTAATTTTTCTTTTTAGAAATATTGTTAAAACCAAGTTCTTGAGATTTCCAATAAAGTTGTGATATTTCACTCTGTGAGTTGCTGTCAATCTTTGAAGACTTAATCAGAATTAGTGATATGGAAATTGGATATCTTAATCGGAAATGTCAGAGAAAAGTAAGAAATTCTCAAAGTAGTTGATTACTTTGAAGATTCTAAAATCCGGAACACTTCACTGTAACTGGATGTCTCGCAACAACCCGCTGAAGGCTAAGTCATCCGGATCGGAAGACTAGCGTGGATCTCTTTCTCACCTGGAAGTCTATGAATGACTTTTTCAGAATTGTCAGCTAAGAACCGGAGGCCTCAAGAAAGACCGGAATTCTCAGAAGCAGACAAGTGAGATAAGGACTTAGAAAATTATCTAAGTCTTGAATGAAGAAATTCTACCTGTTCGTAAGGAAAGATCAATCTCTTGATTTTCAACGGATAGATTGAGGAAAATTAAGCTGATTCAAGAAAAGATGACTTGAAGACAAAGTCTGGACAACTCAAATTAAAGAGCTCGTCTAGAATTCCTAAACAAGCACTAGAAGACAAACTGAGTACTACACTCAGTAAAGAGCTACAGTTCATAATTCTTGAACAACAACTAAAGGACGGATTCTGTGAAAAAGGAATCCATCTTGAAACAATTGGGTATGTCCAAACACCCATTCCAATGGCCAGCAAATGCAACAGATAGTCTATTTTGATCCAACGGATAGATTACCCAATCCAGCTATATATAGCATCCATGGAAGACTGGAGAAATACAGGAGATAGATGAGATACATGAGATAACACAGAACAGACAACTGATAATCATCAACCTAACATCAACGAAAGCTATCTCATTCACAGTTAGCCAAAAAGCTTGATAAAGAGAGATCTCTAAACTCCTTATCCAGAAGCAAACTTCTCCTCCTTCCAAAGAGCTATAGTGTAAACACTTGAAGGTTTCCTTGCCTCAAGTACCACACCACGTTGAAGGATACATCTTTTAATCAAACTTCTTGATTAAAAAGGGGGTACATCAACTTTCCTACAAGTTGATCTTTCAAGTCCTATTGTTCAGATCTTGCAGTTGTTGAAGAAGCTTGACCTTCGAAGGAACAACAAAGCCACCACGTGTGCAGTAGCAACATTAGCCTTGCGAAGATATACCCTTCTAAAATTAACACAAGTGTAATTGTTGGTTCATTATTCAACAACCTACTACATTGTGGATTTTGAGGACGTAGAAAGATTACCCCACCTTCGAACCTCGTTAAAGTTTGCGTGTCTCTCTCTTTTATCTTTACTCATACTTGCGATTTTATTAACTGTGAAATTAACATTTTTAACCGACCAACTTCCGCACACAATCTAAGGTTCACAAGAACTCTAGATTAACACTCATTTTTACGTTTTCAAAAGAAATGAAAAAGTTTTTTAAATTATATCAAAGTCTATTCACCCCCCCCCCCCCCCCTCTCTAGACTTTGTATCTCACCACTTTGGGACCACCACTAGGTTAGGCGGCATAACATTTGGTACCTCCCAGTCGGTCGGATCTACCGTGTGGTATCCATGGGTTATTACCCATCAAGGAGTCCTCCGATTCCCGGTCATGTGGGTACCATCAGGGGCGGGGAGCATATACGAGCATCTTTTCAAATTTAAACTGCCCAGGCAATTTTTTGGGAGGAAAATGGCCCTTGCAAACCGGCGCCAAAATAAATATATTTGAATTTTGAATTTTGGAAATCCCGGGCGTTAGACGCGGGGGAATCTTCATTGAAATCCGGTACGGTGCTGCCAATTTGTTGCGCCGTTTCGTCTCCCCGAGAAGTTATGATTACGAATCATTTCAATTGCCACGTGTTGCTCCGCTATTCGCTTGGCTGGGCGGCATCTTCCCTATATATGGCGAGGTCCCCCCTTGAATTTCCTCACTTGCAAATTGCAATCCAAAAATCTGCCCGGTTGCTTCTATTACTTTTCGAGTTCTCCGAGTCTTCTAGTTGCTCCAAGTAACTCTCTTTCCTCCCTCTTCTTCTCTGAGTCATATCTGACCGCGAGGATAGCTAGAACCTCTCTGTCCACTCCTATAGTTCAGGTGCCCGGTCACAGACCTCAGGTTCCTCCTCTTCTTCTTCTTCTTCTGAGCGCCCGGCTACTTCTCCATAGAAGAAGCTGGTTGATGCTTCCACTTGTTCCCCCACTTCTTCCATGGTCACCATATGCTCAACAGCTTCATTAATGTCTGTCGTTTCCTTCGCAACCCTCTTTCTCTTCGTCTCTTTGATCACATGTTCGATGTCCGGCCCGGGTCCAAGGAAACCCTTGGATTTGTGATTGTGTCTTCTCACCAAGGCCGGGCATTCCTCTCTGGTCTTCCTCCTTCCAACAGGGGTTGGAAGGATAAGTACGTTTCTATCAAATTCCCCCTGGGCGCATTTCCTTTTGGCCAAAATGCCTGGGGGAAAAGAATGAGACTCCAAGTCAAACCCCTGGAGACCGATGACCTGGCCGCCTGGGAAACCACTCTCTGGGCCGGGGACGCCTCCACCTGCGGTCCTAACAATGTCGGGAAGTGGGGGTTTACCCCGGCCGGGAGACAGATCCTGAGTCGGAAATCATTCTGGCTAAGGCGATCCCCAATGCCATCCCCATCCGCCGGGTGAAAGGATCGAAAGCCCTGGTCTCTGCCACCGCCAGTTCCTCACGCCCGGGGAAGAAGAAGGAGAAAGGTCCATGCCTACTTCCCTTTTTAATCCACCTGTATATTATTTTTTCTTTTATTTTGCAACTTTCTCTTACTAACCGGCCTCTTTTTCTCGTTTCAGTGGTGAAATTCAGCTCTAAGTTTGCCACCCCCCAGATCGTCACTGAGGAGCCTTCCACTTCTCAGCCCCTCAGCTAGCCATTCTCTTTGGATGAGCAGCCGGCCCAATCTCACCAGGGCACCAGCCAGCCCATCCACTCTGGGGAGCTCTACATCAACGTAGACACCATGGCGTTTGACACGCTGATGATGGTGACCAGCCATACATCGGAGGCCAGTCAGGGTGCCCAGGAAGCTGAGGGAGGCCACGGCGAAGAGGAGGCTGCCGAGGCGGCCCTCCAAAGGAAGAGGCGGAGGACTCAGGTTGTAGATCAACCTACCCAGGTTATATATATATATATATATATATATATATATATATATATATATATATATATATATATATATATATATATATATATATATATATATAGACACACACACACACACACACATATAGGATAAATAATATTCTTACAAAGCAACCGGGTTATACTAGCACTCTGGTCTGGATGACTCGGGTCATCCAGGGTAGGGTGTTACAGTATCTCCTCTCGCCACTAGTACTTTTGAAGCCGGAGCCCGGAGAGACCTTGTTCTTGTACTTGCTTATCTCTCCTCGGGCTGTGAGCTCAGTGCTTGTGAGAGAGGAGGAAGGTACGCAGCGCCCTGTGTATTATGTGGCTCGGGTATTGCGAGGGGCAGAGCTGAGGTACACAAATATGGAAAAGACGATCTTTGTGGTGGTGTGTACAGTGAAGAAGCTCACCCCCTACTTTCAAACACATCCGGTCCACGTGCTGTCCCAAATCCCAATCGGAACCCTCCTTCGAAGTCTTAACGCCCCGTCGCGCGTTAGTAAATGGGGAGTGTTCCTGGGATCATTCCAAATAGAATTCTAGCCGCGACCAGCGATCATGGGGCAAGCCTTGGCAGACTTTGTGGTGGAATGCACCGCGAGGGAAGTAGAGTCCAACGGAGAAGAGAAGGAAGGAAACTGGTGGACCATATACACTGATGGCTCGTCTACAACCGATGCTTCGGGAGAGGCGTTGTGGCAATATCACCAGAAGGGTTTCAGGCGTATTACTCTGTAAGATTCCATTTGAAGGTCTCGAACAATGAGGCTGAATACAAGGCACTTCTCTGTGGCTTGAGGCTGGCAGCATCTCTAAAAGTTGAGCGGATCCAGGTTAGATGCGACTCGAAATTGATAGTGGGTCATGTCACAGGGGAATTTGAAGCAAAGGATGAGCGGATGAAGAAATATAGGGACACCGCGCTGGAATTACTTAAGGCATTCGGGGCATACCGGATAGAGCAGGTCCCTCGACGAGGCAAACATCTTTTCGAAGCTTGGTCCTGATTCCCCAAACCATATCAAGGCGATGACTCTAGAAGAGGAGTTGTTTGAACCAAGCATCAGTCCTGGACAAGTTTTGGTCATTACACTCAATGAGCCAGACTGGATTGACGAATTAACTATGTACATCCTTGACGGGTTGATACCAACAGATCCAGTCGCAGCCAAAGTCGTCAAGCGACGCACACTTAGCTACACGCTGGAGTGCGGTAGGTTGTATAAGCGATCATACAATGGTACACTATTAAGATGCTTAAGGAGGGATGAAGCATAGAAGTTGATGGAGGAAATCTATGAGAGAATATGTTCAGCACACCAAGGAGCCTTTACGATGTCAAGGAAGATAACCCTGCAGGGATACTTCTGGCCGATGATCATCAGAGATTGCGCAGAGTACGTGCGTAAGTGTAAGGTGTGCCAAGAGTTCTAAAGGGTACCAAGGCGACCGACAACGAATTACACCCCGATCAGCGGGGCGATACCCTTTGCTCGATGGGGCATTGATCTGGTTGGCATCTTTCCAGGGGAGCAGAAAATAACATGTACCTGGTGGTCGCGATCGACTACTTTACCAAATGGGTTGAGGCCGCCCTAGTACTAACCATCACCGAGGAGCAAATGAGGAGGTTTGTGTCTAAACAAATTTTGTGCCGCTTTGGGGTGCCCCAGTAGATCATCACTGACAATGGAACCCAGTTTGAGGCTAGGGGGTTCAATGAGTTTCTGCAGAGTTGGGGCATAAAACATAGATATTCTGCAGTCAGGTACCCACAAACCAATGGGCAAGTCGAGAATACTAATCGCACCATTGTGGATGGCTTGAAAAAGAAGATAATGGAGTGCAAAAATGCGTGGGTAGAAGAGTTGCCTTACATCCTATGGACTTATAGGACCACCCCGAGGAAGGCCATGGGGGAAACGCCATTCACGCTCACATATGGGTTCGAGGCAAGGGCTCTAGCTGAAACCTCATTACTAAGTCATAGAGTGGAGACGTTTGATGCACAAGAGAACGAAGAAAGCTTAAGAGCGGAGTTACATCTCATAGACGAGCGAAGAGAAAGGGCCTACATCCGGGCAGAGAACTACCGTCAGCAGGTTAAGTCGTATCATGATCAGAGGGTGCGACCAAGATAGTTCAAAACGGGCGATTGGGTGCTAAGGAAAAGGGAGGTCAGTCGGCCAACCGACGGGGGAAGGTTCACTAAGAGTTTTGAAGGGCCATACATCATAAAGGAAATGTTGGCCGATGGAACCTTTAAACTACAGACACCAGCGGGAGGCGACGTCCCGTAGGTATGGAACGCTGCCAATCTCATCAAATTCTATCAGTAGATTGTACTCCTGGTATGCTTCATCTTTGAGTTAAATAAAACGAGCACTTTGGCATTTCCTGGTCCCATCCCTTCTCGAATTTCATTGTTAAAAAAAGGAGCGACCAAAGAGATCGCTAATAGAAACTACATTGTGATTCGCACTAAGATACCCATCAAGGGATAAAGTGCTGAACCTAGTTAGTGACCAAGTCCAAAGGCTAACAGTGGGTGTTTGATCTACAGTCGCTAGGGCGACCGGTAGGATAACACGCCTTATAGAGAGGGGTGACGCCGTGGCGAAAAAGCCTTAGAAACGGCTAAGTCCAGAACATGAGATCTAATGGTCGCCTGGGCGACCAGGGGACTCGTGAAGAGCATGGCGACGCCGAGAGAGCAAAAAGGCCCCAGGAACGGCTAAGTCAAGGGAAGCAGGAGGTTTTTCCCAACTAAAGGTTGAGGAGACCTGAATGCTTAAAATAAGGTGCAAAAGACAACTTGAAAAGAAGATGAGACTTGTAAGTTGACAGGTAACATTGAAGTACATTCATGAAAACATCTATTACACATCAAGAATCACCTTTTGCATCTATATATCCAATACAATTGAGAACAATTTCCCTACATATTACATGCATTCAAAAGAGAAAACTCAAAGTCTGTGCGGCCGAAGCCTGGAAAGGAAGAAAAATACAAGGGAAAAGGCAAGGTGAAGGGTAGTTCTGCAGCTAAGTAGGCAGACAGATCCCCAACCACCAGTCGCTACGAGCGACCACCTCTCTTCTCCAACATGGAACAGAGGTGGTCGCCCCCTAGCCGCAACAAAAACCCCCGTCCTTCTCCTAAAGAAGAAGGAGGGGAGGCGACTCTCTATTCTGTGAGCCCCAATCGGCATCACCTAGATGAGGATGAAGACCATGAGGCAGCGGGACGTGGTAGGGGAGAACCCAGTTCTTCCTCCACCACAACCTCTTCTTTAGGCCGCATTGGCGAGTTGGTGCGACTCTCGTTAGTCCACTGCTCCAGACTCGCGTAATGTGCTCCTTCATGCTCCAAGAGGGGCAAGTGCTCATCCTGCACTCTCTTCTAAGCCGCATAATGCCATTGGTGGATGGGGCATGGAGCATCCCAGTCAACCTCTCCGTTTGGCAACCGGTTGGCTAAAAGTGCCTTGGATGCCGCACTGAAGTGGTCATAAGGGTTTGGCGGAATGGGTGGCGGTTTAACCGAGGGCCACTGTAACACCCTAACCCGCCCAGGTCTGCAGCCCCTTTCAGATTAAAGTACTAACTTGGTAATCGTAAAAATTTAAAACATTTCAAACACTTTTATTCATCATAATAATATTTTTCATATCATAAACAGTACGGAGTTTTCAATATTGCGGAAGCTTAACAATCATAATCACAAACATAATTTATTTATGTTCTTTAATTCAAAACCATCACATCCATTCCGACAATCTCGCCTCCGTCTGCCTCCAGGATCACGTCACTTCATTAACCTGCGTGTAGCAAATAAAACATACTACACGCTCAGCGTTGAAGCTGAGTAAGCATATCTAATGCATCGAACATCCATATAAACTGAATCTAAATTCATAATCAAATCATTTGATATCATGCACATAATGTTCAGTTCAGATAATCAATAATTATTAAAAATTATTCATCATGCATTATTCAACATTTATATTCACATTCAATGTTCATCAGTCATTCATAATAATTGCAATATTCAATTCAATATTCATCATTCAATATTTACTCATATTCAATATTCAACATTCAACAATATCCTTAAACTATTCTTAGTCTAAGGCCAATCACTTTAATATTTGTCAACCCTTAAACGAATTCTAGTTTAAATAATTAAACTATATTCCAGTATAAAATATTCCTAAATAATCCTTAAGCTAGGCCTAGTTTAAGATAAAAGGGTTTTGAAAATCTTAAACTTACCTTCGCTTAAGGCCAACCAAAAACCGACAGCGTAGTGTTCACTGTTGGGTGGGTGGTACCCCCAAACGAGTAGGTACTCAAGTTTGGTTCCTGGATCCCGTACGTACGTTTTAACCCTAGCCACCGGGGTTCATACCCGCAAGGCCTAACTTAAATAGGTATATCTTAGAGGTCTTTTAGATACCTTTCAAATCAACATTATTATGGGTATATCTTAGAGGTCTTCTAGATACCTTTCAAATCAACATTAATATGGGTATATCTTAGAGGTCTTCTAGATACCCTTAACAATACATTTTATTTTCACAATCATCAATATATTCATTATGATTTAATCATTCACAATTATCATTTTTAATCAGAATATTCATCAAGATTCAATCATCATAATAATCATTACCATAATTATCAATCAACATAATATTCAATAATAATTAGCAGCCTAGCTTCGAGTGTTAACACCCTAACTTACTGTCATGCATCACATAACATTTTTATTTGTTAAAAACATCATTTTTATTATGGTAAATCATTTTTCCAATGATCATAATCAATTGGTGGATTTTAGAGCATATATTTTCCGAATATTTTCGGAACAGGATCTCGACTTAAGAAAAATCGATTTTTATTTTTTAAAAATAATCAATTAATACCTAAAACTTGATTTTTTTATATTTAAAATAATCCATTAATAGCTAAAAATCGATTTTTATATTTTAAATAATCAATTAATTGCTAAAAATTGATTTTTATATTTTAAATATTCAATTATTTGCTAAAAATCGATTTTTATATTTTAAATAATCAATTAATTGCTAAAAATCGATTTTTATATTTAAAATAATCAATTAATTGCTAAAAATCGATTTTTATATTTTAAATAATCAATTAATTGCTAAAAATCGATTTTTATATTTTAAATAATCAATTAATTGCTAAAAATAGATTTTTATATTTTAAATAATCCATTAATTACTAAAAATCGATTTTTATATTTAAAATAATCAATTAATACTTAAAAATCGATTTTTATAATTAAAATAATCAATTAATTAATTTTAATCGATTTTTACAATTTAAATAATCGATTAATTCATAATAATCGATTTTTACAATATAAATAATCGATTAATTCATAAAAAATCGATTTTTACAATTTAAATAATCCATTAATTCATAATAATCGATTTTTACAATTTAAATAATCAATTAATTCATAATAATCGATTTTTATAATTAACATAATCGATTAATAACGTTAAATCGATTTTTATGATTAAAATAATCGATTATTATTATTTTTAAATATACTGACTATCTGAACAAATTTTTAATCGATTATTAGGAAAGATATAATCGATTTTCGGCCACTGTTCATCATCTTCTTCCTCTGTTCAATTTTTAACATTATCATTTTTAATTACCAAACTTCAATTAAATTATATAGGAATGTTCCCCAATGTTCACAGATCATTTTAGAGTCATTAATTTGTAGTTTTAACAACAATTTCTTGGTTTATGATTCTTGGTTCTTCAAACATGTCAAACATAAAACTCAACCAAACGACCGTTTATGAACGTAAAAACGATCTATACGAACATTCTAATCACTAGATATATCTACGGGCTTACCTCGAAG